CCTTTGCACGGTCCTTATGCAATCCCACGTTTCTCTAACGATTCCGTAAAAGTGCCGTGAATTTTCCATAAGAGAATTCCTTGGCAAGGCGAACTAAGCGAGCATCACAAAACTAAGTGAGGGCAGGCCGGGAATTATGATAGACTAGTGTAGGCTTTGGTGCAACTTTACTAACCAGCCGGATCGGCAGTATCGGCACACAGATACTAAGAGCGACTTTATTGAACCGCCCTGGCTCGCTTAGTAATTTGGATGTTGCTAGTTAGGTACTTCCCCAATGAAATTACTAGGCACTATGCCGTCTTATTTTACTTAGCTCTATCACGGCTAACTGCTAACTAGCGCCTTCGACGGAATCCGGCGCCAGGGTATGGTGGCAACGTTACCGTCCCAGTACACACCCATGTCGCGATTCAAAGCACGTGGCATCCAATGTGAGCCAAGCTCCTTATATAATTTGTAGTGGGATTTTCAGTAAGGAAGACGTCCATCTGGTACCGCAAGGGGCCAACTTACTTATTTTCTACCGTGATGCAAACTGTTTCTTCTTTGGGACATCAATCATGGGGCCTGTCCTCCAGTCAAAGATGTGGCAGATGACATTTTCCGAAATGATTGTTTAGTGTCGTTTTTTGAGGCGAGTTTGAGTGACATGGCAACAGGCTCTGAATTGGAACGCCAACTCGTTCATCCAGCACTGAGCTTCTCGTCAGAGTAACATCTAAGGCCTAAGGTGTCCACTAGCGGACTCTAAAAATGCCCAGTCCGACCAAGATAGAAGTCCAAATTTGTCTAGTGAACAAGAACTTGACAATCATAATTTGGGTAGCGCTTAAGCCTACCGGGAGACGTCACTACACAATTAACGCTAACAAATAGGCGTTCAGTGCAAGCAATATGCTCAACACTGTCCAGCTGTAAGGACAATTAATCATTTACGTGATAGTGGGTTTAGGGTAAGATAGATGGACGAGGCGAATCGATCTCAAGTGACTTGAAATGTGCTAGATATTTCTTGCTTGTCGCGACTCGACTCAATATCCTGAGACGGACCGCGAGGGTCAGCACATCTCGTAGGAGCACTTCCATTCGAATCAGTCGGTGATATATTCTTGCACGTAAAGATACGGGCTGTCATATTTGAATAATAAATGCATTGACAAGCTGGTTACATGACGGCCCGCAACTAGCTGGCCGAGTAGGATAGATCAAGGGGACGAGTAGGGTTATAGACACTAGTGAATAACTCGGATTTAAACAAGACGCCATATAGGAGGAAGCAATATTACGGAGACTATAGTGATCCATTTGGAAGCAAATGGGCCAAAATATCAGTGTCATACCGAACTAGATAAATCTTGTGGGGATTGCTGTCCACAATAGTCGTTTAAGTAAGAAACGTACTTGGAACCGGCTTATTCTTCGTGATAAATATATCTTATTAAATAAGCATCAAATCAAGGAATTTTGGCTCAAGCATAATTAATTTAAATATCGTAATTTGAACATATCTTCCACAATCCATGTATTTAAGGCGCAGAGTCAAGCGAGTGTAGAAGATTGTCGGTCATTGCTGAGAGGAGGTCCCAGCTAAGCAAATTATTCAAATGCCTTGAAAACATACTAAGTTGATGAAGCTTCACCGCATACGAGCTCGTCTTGGGAGATGAAATAAGATCATTAGATGAGTTAACAGACCGGGTTCTAGTCGGATAATAACCAGATAGCTGAAAGACTAACCAGCTTCTTAGTTTCAAATCGTTATCTAGCCGGCATGACATACGATCAAGCTCTTCAAGTAAGGGTGGCCACGAAAATGTAGCACATACAAAATCCGGATGTGGGTGCTGATTATCGCGCTTGATAACAAGTTGATGAAACAGTTCAGTGATTTGCACGCTCTGATTCAAGAAAATAGAAAACGCTCAGCGAGATAACTGATAAAAATAAAAATGGACTTTCGTTACTTACTATGGATTTGAATTCTGAGCACATTTTCTCGACGTCACTAACGCATGTTGCGAGCAAGACAAATTCCGCCTCAATAACTTCATATAATTTTACAGATTTAGCCAAGGCTGTATCACATGTAAGCCAACCCATGGCCTCAGCGGTTTGCATACGTTTAGCATTCGAACTCAAGTGGGAGATATCGGGCACCTGACAGTGGAGTCATGATGAGAGTTAAGCCGAGGCATTCGTGAGTATGCCAAATCACTGTATTCTTACCTCCATATCTGGGACGGAAGAGCAGGATCTCAATAAATTAAGGGACACATGCGTAACTTTATTAGTAAATAATTCTGAGGCCACAACCCAGCTGTCGCGAAGCTTCGATATCGATGTAAGATGAAATGACATTTGCTGATCCCAAACATAGTGCGATTCTTCCATGGCAATAATGTAATATTACAAGAAGTTGATCTGAGGTTAATTAAACAATCCCCAGATCCAACTATACAGCGAGCAAAGTAACATAAGGAATCGCACGTGGGTATATCTTTGATATAAGACGTCTTAACGAATTGAAGTAATTATATTAATAAATTATTGATTTTATTAGCAATTAAAAACATTTAATAACGTAACTAATATTTTGTTTACAAATTTTTTTAAAATTATTTAAATTGTAATTTATTATATTAATTATATTTAATTAGGTACATTATTTTTCAATCGCTTTTGTATCTCTACCCTCATCTGTGCCGCTTCATATCATTAATGGCTCTCCCTTCTAGCTTCCCTCCTGATCTTGAATCTGTTCCCGAACAGAAAAGTAGACTTGTTCGCATTTTTACCGCTCTTCCTGTTCTTCCCATAGGTATTTAATGATTTACAGATTAATGAGTGCATAAGCAATACTAGGGATGGGCTATTGTCTTGTCATGGCTGGCAAAAGAACTAAATTATCAAGAGAATCTTCTGCTTTATGGCTCAAAAGGAGGGCATATTTGCATGCTGCTGGAGTTCTGTCTGTCATGGGTATAATTGGTATAAAAGTTGCCAGGGGTCTAAAAGAACCTGACAACCCTCGATGATACATCTCATCTTTATTGTCTACAGATCTCCGCTACCATGTGCGGGCTGTGCCTATTTCGCTTTAAGCGCACTCATCAGCTTGTTTCTACTTCAATATTTAACAAAGCAGCCTTATTTCTCAACACTCATCTCGTTCTCCCTTTACATCACTAGGTACACTATTAATTTATTTAATAAATGGACATGTAGTCTTTTTCAATAGGATTTATATATAAAGGTTGCATTTATCTCGCCTACCATGCATCACTTTTGAATGAGGACCCTAACTAATCTCTTCCGGCATGCCCTCAACTCTCACGCCGATTATCGTTTAATTGATGCTAATGCACCACTTCTGCATAGTCTCTTGGTTGGATCTAGGTGACCTGAGAGGCATTCCTTCTGATAACTAATCACAGTACCGATCCTATATATCTTAGGTTAAGGGAGATGTACTCTCTTGGCTGGAAGGCATCACTCCTGCGTGGAAGAGTCTGCAGTCTTTTCATTGGTGCGTAGACCCGCAAATAGTCAATTTTCGCTGTTCCTCGGTTGGTCCGCATATTTACTTTGCTGTCTCCCATTATTGACCACGGCTGATATGAAAGTGGCCTTGGGTGCCGTGTAGTCTTTAATTTAAATTACATCTTTTTTGTCGGGGTGCTGGGTAGTTCATCTGCCATCGTGAATTCTATCGTGCCTTAGGTCCCCTGAGTGCTTGTTAATTCCCTTGGGATCGCTCTCCTACAAAGAAAAGACGTGTGTATTTTAGGCGAATTTTGGGGTTCTTTTGTATACCCTGAATAGGCTCGCCGTAACTCAAGCACATTGGCACAATTCATTGAACCATGTTGGCTGTTATAATCTTGTGAAGTAGCCGGCTTTGCTGTTTTTTTAGATGGGAAATAATTACAAATTGTAGATGCCAAGCCAGCAGTGTTTCTTTTGCCTGAGTTATTTCGGGATTTATTTCACCGTACTATTCTGCTATTTATCATCATACAGTTTTACGACTTGCTTGTGCTATCTGCCTTCATACCTTAATGAGTTCCGAGAGTCTTACTGGGGTTTGTTTGACTGGCTTTTTCAGTGCTTATTAGTTGTTGGCCTTGGAGTTTTCCAGTTTCTGCTCACTCTAGGGAATTTTGATGGGACTTACAGCAATGTGAGCGAAATTCCATTTTTGTGATTGCTCGCAATGCTTTGTAAGTATGGATGTCCGATTCTTCGAAATGGGGCGTGTCAAAATCATTCCCAGGCTTTATTAAAGCTCAACTTCTCGGAATAGGTCTATTTACCACGTAGATTGAGTTGTCCATCTCTCTTTGGCTTTCGCTACGATGCATATGCAGAAACCGGTGCCGTTAGCTTATTTCTACCGGATCTCAGTTGCATTGGGCAAATTCTTGTCCAACTCATCGCTTAGTACCACTTACTGTCCCTTGACGATTATAAAAAGTTCTGCAATCGTGTTAGGAGTGGATGGCTTGATTTAAGCTACATGGGTTTTATATGAACTCTCGTTCCTTACTATACTTCGTCCTCTTCTTAAACCAACTGGAATGAGACCGGTATGTGGGAAAATTTGCCTTTGATCTACACCATTCGATGGTCAGATTGATGGGTTTACGCGGTGGCTTCATGTCTATTGCTAGACGAAACTTAATAATTTAAGAACAGACTATAGTAAGCTATGAAGACCGAGATGGTGTGGCTTTTAATATGGTTGTCGCCTTCCTTTGTTGTGTGGTAGTCTGACCTTGTTTTCTTGACTTGCTTAGAGCGACAATAAAACCTGGGGCAATACACCTTGCCCGGAGTCCATAGTATCTGTGATTATTTTCAGGGTTGGATCCTGGGCTTGGCGTATTTCCGGAAGTTTCGCCAGCATCGTAGTCGACATCGTCAACGAGCCTTACCATTCTTGGCACCACAAGGAAGACGATTTGTGGCGATAAGCCTGGAAAGGCTCGTTGACTATGCTAGAGTGACGTCTGGGAATGTACCAAGTTCACAATCTGACCCTGGAAACTATCATGGCTACTATGGACTCAGAACGAGGTGCGTTCCTCTAAGTCTTCCTGACAATACGACCAAGTTGCAAAAACAAGGTCAAACAAAATAGATCAAATAGATACAAATATTAACTTGGTTCCTACGAATCTCATGAGGTAACATTATCGGGGAGGCCTTCATTTAGTATTAAAGTTCGGCCCTTAGCCGTTAATACGACGTTTAGGTCGAAGCAGTCAACTAGACATCCCCCGTCGTTTCCGGTGAAGATTGATGGATGGGCATCAGAGCTGGAACACATTATTCTGGAAATCTCGCGTTAGTACTAGGCTAAGAAGACTATCCAGCTCTATCTTACATCTTATATATACTAATAACTAGAAAACGAAACAGCATAGGCGTAGATATATGTATATTAGTTTGGCTAACTAACTTCCATATTGTTCAGGCTACTTTCTCTCGTAATACCGGTCCTAAATCAGAGTGATAAGAGCCTATTGTCAGACTAGTCATCGAGGCTTAATGATTCCGGAACGAGGGAGCATGTATAATGGGTTGCGTCAACCTGAATACCTTATTAAACCAAGCGACTGCAGTACAACGGGAATCGGCTGTTGTTTTCTAGTGAGGTAAACCTGCCAATCCCTTTTCATGAATTTTTAGACGAAGTAGAGGTCTTTCAGCAAAATAAAACAATTTCAAATTAAGGATGCTTTTAGATAAGTTCCACTACTTGCGAAATGCCACTTGCTTCTAGGTAGTCACACTTAAATTGGGCTTATTCATTAATGGATAATTTATCAATGCCGTGCACCCCCGCAACTATTTCGAAGTCCTCTGCTATAGTAGCTATCATAATTCCCAGCATCAGACAGTGGACTTGGTAGATTCTCAAACGTTTCGCCGGCATCGAAGTCGGTATCATCAGTGAGTGTTGCCATTTTCCGCACCAAGCTACGAACTCGTCAAGGAT